TTGAAATTTTCCACTAACAGAGAGAGAGAGAGAAACAGAGACAAAGAAGAGGGTTCCCTCTCTTTGTCTTTATTGCTTTCATCTCTGTGTTTAGGAGGAAGAGAAAGGTAGGACTGAGGGTGTAGCTCAGTAGTAACATGTGTGCTTAGCATGGCCAAGGCCCTGGGTTTGATCCCTAGCACTGCAAAAGAAAAGATAGGGCTGCAGGGCACTGGTGGTTCACACATGTAATCCTGGCTACTCAGGAGGCAGAGATCAGGAGGATCGAGGTTCAAAGCCAGCTGGGGCAAATAGTTCGTGAGACCCTATCTTGAAAAATCCTTCACAAAAATAGGGCTGGCAGAGTGGCTCAAGATGAGGGCCCTGAGTTCAAACCCTTGTACTGCAAAAAAAAAAAAAAAAAAAGAAAGAAAAGAAAAGATAAGGCTGACTTAAGTGGTAAGAGTGCCCACCTAGTAAGCATAAGGCCCTGAGTTCAAAACCCAGTACCACCCTTCCACATACCAAAAAAAAAAAAAAAAAAGAGGTAAAATAGTCAAGAAGAAAGTAATTGCGTGGGTTTTGTTTGCTTGCTTATTTGTTTGGTTTTTTGGGGTTTTTTTCCCCCTTAGTGCTGAAAGAATTGAAGTCTGGTCCTCAAGCGTGAAGTGGTCTACACCCCCAGCCAACAGTTGCTTTTTAAATACCTTCCTTTATCATTGGGCTGCAGCCCACTGGGAGGCAGGCTCTGACAAAACCAAGCCAGACAAAACTCCACAGAACTAGGAGTTTAAGAGTTACCCAGAAATGACCCTGCAGCCCAGAAGTGAGAAGAGGCCATGCTAACATAAAGAAATAAGATGGAAATGGTGAAGTTTTAGGTATCAACTGCAGGCCAGGAGGGGTGTGTTTCCTAGTGGTTGGAGGTTGGGAGGAAGCTGTCCAGGTGTCTCTCCAATCCTGCTGTCAGGCAGCCCTGACAGAGGGCATTCTTTTTTACTTATTCCTCTTCTTTGAGCCTTATCATAAGGTGAGCGGCAGGCTTCCACTCATTTTTTTTCAGAGACAATGAGGCTAGTGTGAGCAACCGGGTAGATTGGGGAAACTGCTTCAACATAAGATGTTTCACTGTAAAAGGAAGAAAAAAGCCATGTGCCACTCTAGTTTGCTAAGGGCTGTGCCTAAGCTAACTGCTGGAGAGCCGGGCTGGGCCTGGTACCAGTCACATCTGGTAACAAGTTCTGGGTCCATGCTGCTCCCTTCCTTGAGGGTGTGTACGTGCTCTCTTAATATGAGGAGAAATGAGCAAGACAGAACTCAGAAACTCTGCTTAGCTGTGCAAACCTCAACCTGTCCAGCCAGTCCTGCACTGGCCCCTGCAAGCTGCTTCCTGTACATGCTATATGCATTTTGCATACATTTGTGGTGTTGAGGGGGTTTTGTTATTGTTTTAGCTTGTTTTTTGTTGTTGTTTTGCATACAAATCCTAACCTGTACATACTAACAATCCTATGGAATATTGTACTCAGTCACTGTTACATTCTCCTACTGCCTTCATAGCATTTATCTGAAATGTTATTTAAACACTGACTTGATTATTGACTTTCTCCCCTAGATGTCATCTCTATGATGGCAGCAACATTGCCTCATTGAACACTTTGTCTGCAGTATCTGGCTCTAAAACAGTGCTCCAGAAGGTTTATGGAATGCAAGAATGATGAATGAGTGAATGACAATGAACATGGGTGTCTGCTAGAGGGAAGAGCAGTAGATGGGTAGGAGAGTTGCAGCAAAAAAGAGACCAGACTGGTCCTCTCCAATGTGGCTTCACTGTGACCCTTACATGTATTCCCTTTGATCTTCTCCCCTCTCTTTCTTTCTCTTTATATTTTTCTCTTTAATACTTTTATTTGGCTTTGAATTACAAAAATACCACATTCTTACTATTTTTGAAAAATGTCCAAAAAAAATACCACATTCCTTTTTCTTTTCACCTTAAATTATTCTTGGAAACTAACTTTATCATCTTCCTCCCTTCTCTTCACTGGATTTAGTTTGTTTTCCTCCTTCACTTTTCCATCTCACCCAAAGAATCTGAGTGAGAGTGAGTGAAAAGGGGGCATGGAAGCACCCTGACCTCCTGTAGAGTGTCCCTTATGATACCCCCACATGCTCCCCCACAGCCCAGGGATTCCACTTTCTGTTCACAGAGGCCAGGGTCAAAGTTCACAAGCAGCAGTCACACAACCACATCAGCTGTCAGTGGGATACTCTCCCTCCTCCATGCTGTGATTTCCTGGGGTTGGAGAAAGAGAAACAAATGTGGACCCTTCCCAGCCCCCTCCAGCCCAGCCTTCCACACACACTGCTAGGGTGGAAGGTGCCAGCATTGTGGTAGCACCCTAGGATCAGCTTGGGCTGTGAGTCCTGAGTCAGTCTATGTGGCCTCCTCCACCTAGAGAAGGCAAATCAAAGGGGGGAGGGAGTCCTTCAGCTTCTGAGAAGCAAAATTAGGACTTAGCAGATGCTGATGGTGATGGGGGGAGGTCTCCCACCCTCCTGGATGCACAACCTCTGCCTGTGCCAGAAGCAAAGAGGCCCTGGGGCATTTCTGTTAGCAGCAGCCCCCTCTCCCTGAACTGCCTCCCTCTCGGCCTGCTTGAGATTGGTGAGAAAGCAGGAGGCAGAGGTGAGGGGTGCTGTGGAGAAGCCACAGAGACCAGGTCAGAGCAACGATAGACTCAAGGCAGACAAAATACTCCAGCAGCTTTTTTTGGAGTTAGTGACTCAAGGACTTTTGGTAAAAGGGCAGGGATGGGCTTCCTTTCTCTTGAAGATCTTGGATGGTGGGCTACCTCAAGCCAAAAGCAGGGGAATTCAGAGGAGGCAGGAGATGGAGCCCTCAGGAGGAGGAGGGTCAGAGGGTCAGGATGAAGTTAAGTGGAGGTACTCTGGGCACCAGGGGCATGGTAAAAGCAAGGGTGCAGTCTCAGGGGCATCCCCTGTGGAGCAGCTGTACACACCAGACTGATTCTGATGCCTGGCTGGCCGATGGGGCAATGGTGAGAAAAACAGAGGACAGATCCAAGAGGGGTTGAGTGACAACGGGGACAAGGGAAGACTCCTTCTCTGGGCAACCACAGAGAGTCTTTCTTGATGGGCACATGATCCCTCACTGATGGGAACCAGGAGGATGGACAATCAGTGCACCAAGGGCCAGTTTTGTTCCCATTCTTTCCACTCTGGAAATGCTTTCCTTCCTTCCTTCCTTCCTTCCTTCCTTCCTTCCTTCCTTCCTTCCTTCCTTCCTTCCTTCCTTCCTTCCTTTCTCTCTCTCTCTCTCTCTCTCTCTCTCTCTCTCTCTCTCTCCCTACCTCCCTTTTTAGAGACAATAAATTTATATTAGATACCTGTACACAGCTATTTAGTAGAAAGAGATTCCTCTCAGGCTTGTCAATAGGACTCCCACTTTTTCTGCCAGAAGCAAAAGATGGTTCACAAAGCAAAAGCATCCCATGAGCTCCAACTGTTCCATCAAGGGCTCTCCTTTATTGTGACTGTCCCTGTAACTCTTTCTACAACAATCAGAATCTCAAGCCCAAACTTTACCCTTTTCCCTATCCAATAAAAACCTCACCCCAGAGCTTTCATCCAAGGAGATGAAAGTGGTTTCTGAAGACACAGAGTCAGCAGGTTCCCCTGAAGAGTGGGGACAGGGGTTTCCCTGGGCAAGCAGCCAACTCTGAGGAAAGAGGAGGCCTCTGGCTCTAAGGTGGAGTCCAATTTGGAAAGGTTCCCTTACTTTATCTCTGGTCTAACACTTCAAACACTGGCTTCCCAGGATGGGGGTAGCCCCAGAGGCAGTTAACGGGATCGGGCCTCAGTCCTGCTTTGAGTAACCCTGCTTCAAGCTCTTCAGCATGTAGTGTGCCTGTGCCTAGGATGTTATATCAACAGGCTCACAACTGGGCAGACACTGACTCTCCCAGCTTGAGGGCCCCCTCCAGGATAGACAGAGACCCTGAGGGTTTTCCAAGTGTCACAGGTCAGAGACAGTGGCATCTGTGGAGCTACCTGCAAGCCTAACAGGGGGAGCTGGCTCTTCCCCTGGGGGCTGTTGAGGAACCAGGCTGGGAGATGAGGGGGAGGCACTCCACTTTCACCTCCTTAGGTTTATGAGGGCAATCGAAGGTAATAATGGGCACTGCCAACTTTCTTCTACTTCAAAGGCCAGTAAATGGTTCTGGGAAAAATGGAACCTGGACCCATCCTTTAATCCTGGCTCTGTTGGGGGGATTTGGGGAAGGTGGGCAGGAAGACATGGGTGAGAAATCCTTGGGTGAGTAGGACTGTGCCTTTTGAAGTGTGAATGTCTGGAATAAGGTCTGAAAGTGGGAACAAATGGGCCCACAGTCCTGGCTACCCCAAAATACCAAGAGACAGGACTGAAACATAGATGAGCACAGGAACATGTGGAACATGACCACAGACACAGATACATATGCACATGCCTACACAGGCGTGAATACTCTGGCAGGCACCCACTCACACAGGTGTACACACGTAAGTATATACAAATCCAAACACAGACAACACATAAACTCGCAAGCACGAATTCACACACAGGTCCCGGTGTGTATTCATACAGGTCAACTGGCTAAGTGGCTGAAGCGATAGAGCTCCTGCCTAACAAGTGCATAGCTGGCCCTGAGTTCTACCCCCAGAACTGCAAAACAAAAACATGCTCATATGCACAGACAGCACACAGGTACACAGGAGCCTGCGTGTACACAAAACCAGGCACCCACTAAAGGCACAGACGTATCTGCATATGACCAGATTCACACACACACACACACACACAAACGCACACCCGATAACTCAAACACCAACCGCCTGGCCACTTGGATGAGTCCTGGCCAGCTGCCCAGTGCAGTTTACCCTGGGCTGCAGCCGGCCCCGCCCCTCCCTCACCCCGCCCCCGACTGGTTGCATAAATTCTCTCCCTTCGCCCCTTACCCCGCACAGCCCGGCTCTGACACCAGGACAACATTCCATCTGGCCTCCACTCACTCCTGGCAAACCTGTCAGGACCAAAGTGCATCAGCCAGCAGCATGGGTAAGAAGGGGAGCTTCCAACAATTTTGCATTGCCCACCCCACACCTGGCCCTAGTTTTGGAGGGTCCTGCTTCTAGGAGCTGACTCAAAACTGGGGGAGAGGGGGAGTTAGGGGAGAAAGCTGGACCCTTCTCTGTTGTTCCTACCCTGCAGGCACGTGTGCACGCATGCGCACAGACTTCGCATTTCCCAGCTTAGCCAAAGTTCTGAGGAAGGAGGGCAGAGGGAATGCTGAGAAGGGTGATCCTGGGCTCTCACCTAGCTCCGCTCAGCAGGAATGGAGCTGGAGTACCTTCCTGCAGCTGAGAAAAGCAGATGAAGGGAGATTTTTAGAGGGAGCCCCTATGCCCCTAGCTGTTACTGTAGGAGACAGACAATCCTGTTTTCATTACTGGGCCAGCCTCTTGCTGGGGAGGGAGGAGGAGGAGAGAACAGCAGCAGACAGCCCAGGTCTCTCTTTAGCTGCTCCACATCACTAGCCACTTTGGGAGGAAAAGGAGAGGTCCCCACATTTGTTCGCTGGTACTTGTTTCAGTGCTCCTCCTCAGCCCCACAGTCCTCCCTCTGTCTGCAGGCTCCTGGGTGTCAGGCTAAGGGCGAGTCTGGGTTGGGTGGGAGTGTTGAGCCGGCCCTTCCCTGGGCTGGCAGAATGTCCAGGGGCCAGCCTGGCATAGAAAACTCACTTGAAGCAAGGCACCAGTGGCTCACGCCTGTAATCCTAGCTACTCAGGAGGCAGAGATCAGGAGGATCACGGATTCAAAGCCAGACCCAGGCAAATAGTTCCCGGGACCCTATCTTGAAAATACCCAACACAAAATATGGGCTGGTGGAATGGCTCAAGCAGTAAGAGCACCTGCCTAGCAAGTGTGAGGCCCTGAGTTCAAACCCCAGGACTGCCAAAAAAAAGAAAATCCACTTAAGCTTTCTTTCCCTGGGTTCATCTTAAACCCAAGATGCTCAGAGACCCTGCTTGAAATGCTTGAGACAGGAGTACAACCCCAGAACAAGGAGCCCCCCTGCTCCCTGCAACCTGAGTGGCCTACAGGGTTTGAACCTTAGAAAGGTTGGGAGGGGCAGAGCTGGGCTGGGCAGATGCTGTGGAGTGAGCCACACCTGCACTGCACCATTACTTCTTTCTCTCTCTGGCTTTATAGTTTTCCTATCTGTTTGTAGTTTGTGAATCTCCCTCCCTCCCTTTCTATCCAAAAACCTTCTTTCCCCTCCCCCTGGCATCCTGTGCCAAGTCTTGCCACAGCTTGGCTGGGCAGCAGAACAAACCTCCTTAATTCCTTTGGACTGGCACAGGCCCTCTTTCTTGCTCTTTCTCTCTCTCTCTCCCTTCCTTCCTCCATCTCTCCTCCCCACTCAGCCCTCTCTCCAGCATTCTCTTCCCTCCTCCAACAGCCCTACCCATATTTATTCAACCCTTTCTTAGCCTTACAAAAGACTTTTTCACATTATCTTATTTACTTATATTTCTACACACTTCTCTTTTGTATTTTGTATTTTCTTTTACTTGGAAGTACTTGTGACCATGTTGTCTTATTTGACCTTCAAATCTACCTAGAGAAGCAGGTAGGGTATTATCACCTCCTTTTAGCAAATGAAGGAGAGAAAGTGAATAGAATGGGTGTCAAATGTGGACTTCAAGGTTATGTTTGTTTGGTTTGGGGTTTTTTGGGGGGTTTTTTGGTGGTACTAGGGTTTGACTTCAGGGCCTCATGCTTGCTAGGCAGGCCCTCTACCACTTGAGCCACTCAGCCAACATGAAGCCAAGTTTCTGGACTTAATGCTGTTGTTGCTCCCTTCCTCTTAAGTCACTTGGCTGCTATCAGTGAGGCTCCCAGGCACACAGAGTCTACTCTAGCTATTCCTGGTTTGTCACTTGGTGCACTGGGACAGGGTAGGAGGCAGTGCCCAGTCCTATAAATTCCACTCCAGGATTTCCTTCAGCCTGCTGCTCTATGTTGTTCTTCAACTCCTCCTCCTAGCAGGCCCCAAACTCTGAAGCTAGGGTCCTGGCAGCTGGCCCTCACTGAATCTGTCTTTGGTCCCAGGAGTCAGCATGGCCTGTCTTGCCAAACTCCGGGTCAGGGGGGTCACTCCCTACAGCTGTGGTGGGTGGGGGAGTAGAAAGTGGCCTAAGGACATCCAGCTGGTGTCAGCCTTGACCTCCAGCCTCCTCCTCCTCTTTGGGATTGATTATGTAACCCAGGATGTGGCATGACAGCCTGGCTCCAGACCCAGGACAGTATGCAGGAAATGTCCCAGTCCATGTAGTGGATGCATTTTGGTGGAGAGTACCAAGCAGACCACTCCACATACTCCCGCCCACACTCCCAGGTTGTCCCCCACCACTGTTTACAGTCCTATGTAAGAGCTCATTGTGGGTTTTTTGTTTGTTTTGCTGTGCTGGAGATCAACCTAGGGCTTTACACATGCTAGGCAAGTTCTCTATCACTGAGCTATACCTCCAGCCCTTGGTTTGTGGGAGGGGTCTCACTATGGAACTCAGTGATCCTCCTGCCTCAGCCTCCAGAGTGCTGGGGTTATAGGCACATTGTGGTAATTTTGTTGTCCCCTTTTCACAGATGAAGTACAAAGTGAGACTGCAAGGTTAGGTAATGTGCCCAAGTTCTGATGGCTAGTCAACGGTAGGCTGAGATTGGGACTCAAATCAATGTCATAACTATCACACCACACAGCCTCTGCTTTGCGTGCTCTGCCCCACCTCACCTGGACCCTGCTGGAATGTCTGTTCCCCTTCAGGTCCAGTCCCTCCAGCTCTTCTGTCACACCCTTAGGGCTGGGTGGTGGGGGTAGCTGTAGGCCAGAGTGATAGGGATGGAGTGGAGACAGCAGTGAGTCTTCCCTAGTTGTCAGGTGTGTGTCACAGACAGTAAGAATGAACCTTCACCCTCCAGTGCAGACTCCAGTCATCATGCCCCATTGTTTCCACAGCTACAAAATGCTCCAAGTGTGGCCCTGGCTACCCCACCCCTCAAGAGGCCATGAAAGGTAATTGCCCAGTGTCTGAGAGCCAGTATCCTCCTACTGACTCCATGGCTGGTAGGGTTGGGAGACCTCAGACCTAGCCTCAGTCCCCTGGCACACTCATGGCCGCCTCTACCATCTTTTCCCATCCCACCATCCCCACTGCCTGCTTTCTACCCTCTAGGACCCCGAGAGGAGATCATCTATGTGCCCTGTATTTACCGAAACACCTGCACTAAGGCCCCAGATTATCTGGCCACTGTGGATGTTGACCCCAAGTCCCCCCAGTATAGCCAGGTAAGGTGGGGCTTGGGTACCGGTACCTTTGAGTCTCCTCCCCTAGCCCTGCCTCCAGTGCTTCTCTTCCCTAACTCCATCCTTTGTCCTCCCTGAGTATGGTAGTTTACTGCCCAAGGGAACAAGCCCTCTAGTGGGATTAGGAGAGTGCTGAAATCCAGCCTGTGCTATGATGCCAAGCCAAAATGAGTCCATGGGGCAGGGGGCACCTTTTCTGATAGTGTGCAGAGGCATAGCCTGGGCAAGTACAGCCTCCTGCTCCCCCTCCATCCTAGGTCATCCACCGGCTACCCATGCCCTACCTGAAGGATGAACTGCATCACTCAGGATGGAACACCTGCAGCAGCTGCTTTGGGGATAGCACCAAGTCACGCAACAAGCTGGTGCTGCCAAGTCTCATCTCCTCCCGCATCTATGTGGTGGACGTGGGCTCCGAGCCCCGTGCTCCGAAACTGCACAAGGCACGTCCTCTCTTCTTGTGGCTGGGACACCCTAATGCAACTGCCATCCCCACAGCCCATGGGCAGGAAGTTACCCCAACCCAGCTGCCTTCTGTGCTTGCAGAAGGTCTGGTTCAGCAGCAGGGAGGGAGAGCAGATTTCAGAAGACATACTTAAGCATGCTGGGTTGGCACCATCCAGCAGTGTGGGCCAGGGTGCCAGAAAAGATGGAGGAAGGAGGCTTCTTTTACTGAGAGGAGAGACAAGTTTTCCCCACACAGTTATGAGCTCAGGGCTTCCCTGAGGAGCTTCCAGGTCATCCTTTCAACACTTTGTTCTGTGCCATCTTAGTGCCAGACACACTGTGCTAGCTGCTAGTGATACAAAGATGACACTGGCATGCATTCCACTGAGAAGAGCTTTAATGGCACAGGGCTGAGTGTCTTCAGGCAAGATCAGGAGGGGTCAGTGCTTCCTGCCTAGGGATTTATTAGCAGTCTCTCTTACTTTCCCTTGCTGTAGAAGTTACCAGAATGAATCTGTGCCACATTCCCACAGGGGGAGTTGTGACCATGTTTTGAAGGAAAGGAGGATGGGGTCAGCAGACAAAGTAGGGGAGTTGTGGGGATAGGGAGTAAGAACTCTGGCCCTGAAAAGTTCTGACTCTATTCCCCACCCTTTTCCAGGTCATTGAGCCCAAGGAGGTCCAGGCCAAGTGCAATCTGAGCTACCTTCACACCAGCCATTGCCTGGCCAGTGGGGAGGTGATGATCAGCACCTTGGGAGACCCCAAGGGCAACAGCAAAGGTACCTCAGACACCAGGTCGTGAAAACTTCTGCAGCTGTGAAGGGTGGAAGCACTTATCTGTGGGGGAGCAGATTCCAAGCCTGGGGAGCAAAGAAGTAGAGAACTAGGGAGAGTAGATGGGCTGGGTCCCATCCAGTATTTAAAATGTTAGCAAGTAACTTCAGTTGTTTCAATTATTCCTACAAAGATAAAACGTGACTGATGAGTTTCATTAATAGGTACAGTCAAAGGGGTCTACTATGAGAAATGCAAAAGCAGACATGACCCCAGAAAATAATACACGTTTCATATCAGCCTTCGTGGATGCACGCACAAACCTCTTAGTCCTTGAGTGACTTAATTTTCACATTTTCCATCTCATTTATGATATATCAGAGCTGACACTTATGTCTACTGTGTGCCACACACAACTGTATAATCCCAGTTTTGCAAGTGAGAAAACAGGCACAGATTGGGCAAGTGACTTACCCCAGGTCATTCTGATGGAACTCAAATCCAGCAATCTGGCTCCAGAATCTTATTTATTTATTTATTTATTTATTTATTTATTTATTTTGTGAGTGTGTGTTACTGGGGTTTGAACTCAGGGCCTACACCTTGATCCACTCCATTAGCCCTTTTTGGTGATGGGTTTTTTCAAGATAGGATTTTGAGAACTATTTGCCAGGACTGGCTTCAAACCGTGATCCTATCCTCTGCCTCAAGAATAGCTAGAATTGTTGGCATAAGCCACTGGTATCTGGCTTATTTTATTTATTTTTGATAGCCCACGTTGGCCTCAAAATCAAGATCCTCCTACCTCAGCCTCCTGAGTGCTGGAATTATAGGTGTGCATCACCACACATGGTTTCTACCTCCAGAACCTATGTCCTAATCACCACTCTTTGTTGCCTCTCTCAGAGTCTTATCAATTTCATCAAAAATCTCATCCAAGGGCCCAAAGTGGAGCATCAGTTAAGGTCATCCAGCTAGATTCCATCTGACTGCTTTGTACAGGAGATGGGAAGAATGTGACATTCCTAGACTTAATAGCACTTAGGAGTAGACATCTGGTTGTGTCATATCATATCATATCACATCAAGGCATCATAATATAGTCAGTGAGGGTGTAACACATTGGGCATGCATGTTAAATGACAAATACAGTTTGCTCTATATAAACCGTGCAGTGAGCGGAGTGGAGGAATCCCATTGTGACTGTGGGAGGGCAGGCAGGAAAAGCACAAAGGCTGAGTCCCAGAAGATCTCTTGGCTCAGAGGGAGAAAAACTTCCCCTGAGGTGTATGACAAAGCTAAAAGTGATGGGAGGTGGAGGCACCAGACTAGGAGGCCCCACCTCCCACTTGGCCATCTCTGGAAGGAACCTTTTGGACACCTGAATTTAAGGAGATAGTGTAGAGGGCAGGCAAACAGGGGAGCCTTTAGCTGTGTCTGAGGTGAGTGGGGAAGTCCAGTGCCTCTACCTCACCCCCTCCTTCCTTCCCCACTCAGGGGGTTTTGTGCTGCTGGATGGGGAGACCTTCGAGGTGAAGGGGACATGGGAGCGGCCTGGGGGTGCTGCACCAATGGGTTATGACTTCTGGTACCAGCCTCGACACAATGTCATGATCAGCACCGAATGGGCAGCCCCCAATGTCTTAATAGACGGCTTCAACCCTGCTGATGTGGAAGCTGGTGAGAATTACCCACAGGCAGGCAGGAGCCTCGGACCTGCATCCTCAGTTCCCCATTCCCAAACCCCACTCCCAAACCCCACTCCAAACCTGCAGCCCTTTTTCCTCCTTCCAACTCTTGGGGTGATGGTATAAGACTTGTCCAAGAGTTCTCTGGACCCATTTTCTAACCCTCTGCCCTAGTCCATGCCCTGCCTGGGCTCATGCCCTTCCCCCACAAATCCTGAGCCCAGCCTCTGGCCCCATCCCCACTCCAGGGCTTTATGGGAGCCACCTACATGTGTGGGACTGGCAGCGCCATGAGATTATCCAGACGCTGCCTCTGAAGGATGGGCTCATTCCCCTGGAGATCCGCTTCCTCCACAACCCAGATGCTGCCCAGGGCTTTGTGGGCTGTGCCCTCAGCTCCACCATCCAGCGCTTCTACAAGAATGAGGTAACATGCACCACCCCCAACACCAGTCTCGTGGGCACCATGCCCAGGCTTCAGCACTGATGTTCCATGGTTTTACCAACCCAGGCTTTCCCAGGAATAAAAACAAGGCCACCTACCTTGCCTGTCTCCTGTCAGTGCCAGGCTAATGTTGACCTCGTCTGAGTATGTTTCTGTTACTATAACCAAACATCCCAGACACGGTAATTTATAAGAGGTTTATTCAGCTCAGGAGTCTGCAGACTGGGAGGTCCAAGGTCAATACAGGCAACAGGAAAGAGTTTTCTTGCTGGTGGGAACTCTTTGCAGAGTCCTGGGTGGCACAAAGCACCACCTGGTGAGAGGGACACGTGCAAACGACAAACTAGCTTTTGTAACAGACCCACTTTGGAAATAACCCACTAGCCCATTCATGGGTTGACCCAATCATGAGGGATCTGACCTAATCACCTCTCAAAGATCCCACCTGGACCCACCTCTTAATCCCTCACTTGGAGATTAAATTTCACCATGAGTTTTGGTGGGCACATTCAAAACAGCACACTTGAGTCCTAAGTGGCCATATTGATTGATCCACTCAAAACCTATTTAGTTAGTTTTTGTGTTAGGCACTTCTGATGAAGTGTGGCAGTGCAGTGGTAAACTAGCAATATCCCTTGCATGATGGTAAACTCTAGTGGCAAGAAGGCCCTATATCTGCTGTCTCCTTCTCGACCCTGAACTCTGATCTGCACAGCAATCTGCTTCCTAATCTCACCCTCCATTTCCTGATGTAGAGAGGTACTTGGTCAGTGGAGAAGGTGGTCCAGGTGCCCCCCAAGAAAGTGAAGGGCTGGATGCTGCCCGAAATGCCAGGTAAGTGCCTAGGAGGGGTGGAAATCTGTAGGTTCATTCCCACCCTGGGGAGTAAGAGTCCTTCCAGCCTCTAAACCACTCCCCCAGGCTTGATCACTGACATCCTGCTATCCCTGGATGACCGCTTCCTCTACTTCAGCAACTGGCTGCATGGCGACCTTCGGCAATATGACATCTCCAACCCACAGAAGCCCTGCCTCACAGGACAGGTGGGAGCTCTAAGCAAGATGAAGAGAAAGGGAGGAAAGAAAGAGAAGAGAGTCTGGGGATGGGGTAGAGGCTGGGATGGAGCTGGAGGATGATAAAGGGAGGAATTGGGAAAGCAAAAAATGTGGGCTGAGGGAAGGGCAGGCTCAGAACTGTGGGAGCCAGGGCTGTGCATAGGCATGGGTCTGAAAGGAGTGAGGAGTCTTAACAGAGGCAAGCTGCTCTTCCCCTATTTCGTATCTCTCACCACTGTTGTCCTTTATCCTCTGCACCTCGCCGCTCAGATCTTCCTTGGGGGCAGTATTGTTCAGGGAGGCCCTGTGCAAGTGCTGGAGGACCAGGAGCTCAAGTGCCAGCCAGAGCCTCTGGTGGTCAAGGTGAGGACCCTCCCCGCCCCTTGCCGGTGTACTCAAGGAGGAAGGGGGGCAGCATATGATCGTGCTTTTGGGATTCGGGGGTTGGTCCTGCAGTCTGTGTGCTACCTTGGGGTCTGACCCCTGGTTTCCCCAAGGGAAAACGTGTGGCAGGAGGCCCTCAGATGATCCAACTTAGCCTAGATGGGAAGCGTCTCTATGTCACCACCTCGCTGTACAGTGCCTGGGACAAGCAGTTCTATCCTGATCTCATCAGGTGAGAAGCAGACCACCTGGGCTCACCTCCCTAGTCAGTCGTCCTCTCCCAGAGGGGTCATATGGCTTTCTGAAGACTCCTTGGGGACCCCACCTGTACCTTACCATACAGGGAAGACCCTGTCCCCTCCTCCTCCACCCACTCCCCACACTCAACAAAATCTTGGGGGGAGGCCCTGACCACCTCTGACCTCTCCCTTACCTGCTTCTTCTTCCCCCCAGGGAAGGCTCTGTGATGCTGCAAGTCGATGTAGATACAGTAAAGGGAGGGCTGAAGTTGAACCCCAACTTCCTGGTGGACTTTGGGAAGGAGCCTCTTGGCCCAGCATTGGCCCATGAGCTCCGCTACCCAGGGGGTGACTGCACCTCTGACATCTGGATCTGAAATCCACCTCTCGGAGCCCCTCCTCCACATTCTGAGCCCTCACTTCCAGGGGCCTGGCTTCACTCTGTGCTCTCTTGGCCCCCGACCCAAGGCGGTGTGCCCCACCAAAGCCAGAAACTGTTCAAACATATCAGGCAGCATCTCCTTCGCACCACTCTTGCTTTTGCCCACTGTGCTGTTTTTACATGAGCTCTCAGAAGCACCAAGAAATAAACTGGTGAACCGTTCTCAGACCACCTTATTTTGGGGGGGTCATGTGACTCCTCTTCTGCTGACCCTTCCTCTTGTGTGTGAAGAAAGCCTGAAGAGAACTGGGAGGGGGAGGGGGTATGACAGTGACTAGTTCACTCCGAGGATCTGTATGCTAGTAATGCCTAAATCTCACTTTTTTGGTCATCCAGAGCCTAAAGATTTGGGGAGGTGATTGCCACAAGGACACCTGAGGGCAGAGAACATCAATCAGTGTTTTAGACTTTTTAAAAATTCATGCTTTCTCTTAATGGAACTGAACCCTCATTCCCCACCACTAAGACCTCACATACACACATGCCCTGGACCTCTCTTAAGGCTGCTGGGGGATCTTTCTATTATTGAGAGGTGGTGAAGTGTGACCACCTCCACCTGGAAGACAGGGACACCATGGCAAACCAGCCTAAGACAGATGGTCATGGGTCATGGTGGTTTTATCTCCTCCTCACTTGTATGGTGGTTTAGAACCTTGCCCAAATCAGACAAGACTTTCTCTCTGCCGGCTCTTTTTTTTTTTTTTTTTTTTGCAGTACTGAGGTTTGAACTCAGGATCTACACCTTGAGCCACTCCAGCAGCCCTTTTTGTAGTGAAGGGTTTTTTTGAGACAGGTCCTCATGAACTATTTTCCCAGGCTGGCTTTGAACTGTGATCCTTCTGATTTCTGCCTCCTGAGTAGCTAGGATTACAGGTATGAGCCACCAGTACCGGGCTTCTCTTTTGTTCTTTGAGAGTGTGTGTGTGGGGGTGTGTGTTACTGAGGCAGGATCTCACTATGTAGCCAAGACTGGCCTTGAACTCATGATCCTCCTACCTCTGCCTCCTGAGTGCTGGGATTACTGGTGTGCAGCACTGTGCCTGGCCAGGTCATTAACTCTTTATAAAAGGTATCTGATGGAAGTTTTAGGGTCCTTTTATTAGGTAAATTAGACAATATTAAGTCACATTCAGGTACTAACCTACTGTTTTTTCAATCTCGTGCAAAGGTATCTTTGTTGTAAACATTGGAACAGTCTAGGACACCAAAGATATACAAGACTTTTTTTCCCTTTGAGATCTTTAAACATGCTCCTTGAGGATCAGACATGATGCATGCCTATAATTCCAGCTACAAAGGAGGAAGAGATTGGGAGGATTGTAATTTGAGGTCATGTGGGGCAAAAAGTTCATGAGACCCCCCATCTCAACCAACAAGCCAGGAGTGGTGGCATGCACTGCTTTGAGGAAGGCATAGGTAGGAGAATAGCTATCGGAAAATAACTAAAGGAAAAAAGGGCTGCAATGTGGCTCAAATGGTAGAGCACCTGCCTAGCAAGCACGAGGCTTTGAGTTCAAAACCCTAGTACCACCAAAAAAACAAACAAACAAAAATAAAATACTCCCTGAAACATCCATCTCAGCTAGAGTCTTGATTCTCTTCCTCTGCCTTACCTGCCACCTGGGCTAGGTTTTCTTATCATATCCTCTAAAAGCCTCCTTCAGTAACCCTTTCAGATCACACACACAAATATGTATACGTATATACGTATACATATACGTGTGTGTATATATATATATATATATATATATATATATATACACATATGTTTTGTATGTTTGTGTGTGTGATTGAGGTTTGAACTCAGAGCAGGTGCTCTGCTCACAAAGCTGTCACTATACTGCTTGAGCCACACCCCCAGCTCAGTGGCCTTTCTTTTTTTTTTTTTTTTTTTCTTTTATTATTCATATGTGCATACAAGGCTTGGGTCATTTCTCCCCCCTGTCAGTGGCCTTTCTTAATGTTTTCCAGGACTTAATCTTATCAAGAACACATGTCACTTTGGATTGAAATTCCCAGCATGTAGCTTGTATATTAGTGCACAGCATGCTTTATTGAATAAATGAATATAAAGGAAGTATTCAAGATGAGTAAGAAGGAACAGGGAGTCTTGGGATTTCCTGGGTGTTCCCAAAAGTCCTAGATCTCTTTCCTGTCCTCCTCGATAATCAAACTTCTTCTTCTGAAGAAGGGAGCATATAGTTCTACAAAACGTAACTTCCTAAAAGTGTAGGGGAGTGGCTCAAGTGGTAGTGTTGCCTAGCAAGTGCGAGGCCCTGATTTCAAACTTCAATACTGAAAAAGAAAAAGAAAAAGAATCCAGTTTCAACAGTTTAGATAAGGTAGGATCCCATTACACAACTCCCCAGTGAGACAAAATTACAATAGGACTCAATATAAATACACACAAACGAGTGCTTATAAACCTGGTGAAATCTGAATAAGTTTGGTGGAGTGTATCAGTGCCAATTTCCTGATTGTTATATTGTACTATGATTACGCAAGATGTACCACTGGGGGAGATGGGGTGAAGGGCACAGGAAATCTCTCTGTATTAGTTCTTGTAACCGTATATGAATGTACAATTATCTCAAAATACAAAGTAACACAGGTGACAACTTGAAAAGGCACCCACTAGCCAAAGATGAAACAATGCATCAAAAAGAGCAATAGGAAGAGTGCTGGTCAAAATCCTAGCCACTTGTGAGACTGAGATCTGAGGATCAAGATTAGAGGCAAATAGTTCAGGAGACCCCCCATCTCCAAAATAACCTGAGCAAAATGGACTGGAGGTCCTGCCTAGCAAGTGCAAAGCCCTGAGTTCAAACCCCAATACCACACAAAAAAAAGAAAAAACAGTAATAACCGAGGGATTAAAATACATAAATAAGTTAAAATCCAAAACTTTTTCATAACACACACACACACACACAATACCCTTGTTGGTCATCTCTGGAAGATGTTAGCATGCCATCTCATTGCGCTGAAAATAAAAATATAAACAGAAAGAATCAAGCTGGGCGCTGGTGGCTCACGCCTGTAATCCTAGCTACTCAGGAGGCAGAGATTAGGAGGATCTTGGTTTGAAGCCAGCCTGAGCAAATAGTTCATGAGACCCTATCTCGAAAAACTCTTCACAAAAAAAGGGCTGGTGGAGTGGCTCAAGGTGTAGGCCCTGAGTTCAAAACCCAGTACAGAAAAAAAAAGAAAGAAAGAAAGAAAGAAAAGTGGACAAGTTTTAATGAAAAGGAGAAGTTTTTTCTTGGTAAAATGGTGGAGTACAACTTCACTACTGGATTCATACTTTTGGATCAGCATCTGACCTTTGCTCTCCTTGAATTTCTCCCTGTAAAGGAGATACATAATAAAACAGAATTACTACAAGGGAAATTGGATCTTCTTAGTGATACCAACATGGTAGACTTTGCTGTGGATGTACACAAAAACCTTTATTCTGATGATATTCCTCATGCTTTTGATAGAAAAACCCCCACAGTTGTTGCACAACTGAAATAGCTTCAAAGGTATTTCAGAAACAGAACCAACCGTGAAGATGTTTAAAGATCCAAAAACTATAAGGCAAATGCAGTCAACCAACAATGGTTGGATGCTATTTGACTACCTGGCAAACAAACATGGGTTTAGGTGGGAATATTTAGATAACACTATACAGGTATGCAAAATTCCAATGTGAATGTGGAAATTACTCAGGAGCAGCAGAATATCTTTACTTTTTTAGAGTGCTGGTTCCAGCAACAGACAGAAATGCTTTAAGTTCACTATGGGGAAAACTGGCCTCTGAAATTTTTGTGTGTGTGTGTGTGGCATTGGGGCTTGAACTCAGAGCCTACACCTTGAGCCACTCTACCAACCCTTTTTGTGATGGGTTTTTTTGAGATAGGGTCTTGCAGACTATTTCCCAGTCTGGCTTCAAACCATGATCCTCTCGATCCCTGCCTCCTGAGTAGCTAGGATTATAGGTGTGGGCCACTGGTGCCCCACCCTCTGAAATCTTAATGCAGAATTGGGATGCAGTCATGGAAGATCTTACACGTTTAAAAGATACTATGGGTAATAATTCTATGAGTTCTTCACTCCAGCTTCTTTAGCGGCAAACATGGCTCCTTCACTGGTCTCTGTTTTCTTCAACCACCTCAAAGGGCGTGATGATATTATTGATTTCTTCCTTTACCAGCCACTGTACTTTAATGCAATTCAGACAACGTGTCCACATATTCTCCGATGTTGATCACTGCAGTCATAACAAACAAACGCATCCAAAAACGCCGGCAGGAGCTAAAAGATCTAGTTAAAGTTATTCAACAGGAGTTTCACACATATGAAGACCCAATTACAGAATTTGTCGAATGCTTATATGTTAACTTTGACTTTGATGGGGCTCAGAAAAAGCTGAGCCAATGTGAATCAGTGCTTGGGAATCACTTCTTGGTGGCTTGTCTTGGGGATTTCATTGAAAATGCCCGACTCTTCATATTTAAGACATTTTGTCGTACCCACCAGTGTATCAGCATTACTATGTTGGCAGATAAACTGAACATGACTCCAGAAGAAGCTGAAAGGTGGATTGTGAATTTGATTAGAAATGCAAGACTAAATGCCAAGACTGATTCCAAATTAGGTCATGTGATTATGGGTAACAATGCAGCCTCACCCTATCAGCAAGTGATTAGAAAGACAAAAACTCTTTGGTTTAGAACCAGATGTTGGCCATGAATATTGAAAAGAAACTTAATCAGAATAGTAGGTCAGAAGCTCCAAACTGGGCAACCCAAGATTCTGTTTTGTACTGAAAAATTGTAAAGAAAAGAAAGACAAAATAATCAAACTGTTATGCAAATGTTGACATATATTTTAGAAGTAATTAACATACTTGGTATAATTTTTGGAAAAAATGAATAAAATTGGCTGTGGTTCTTTAAAAAAGTGGAAAAATTTGAATACTGGATGTTTGAAAATATTAAGAAATTATTTTTGTACTGTAGGTATGGCTCAAGCAGTAGATTACCTGCTTTGCAAGAGTGAAGTCCTGAGTTCAAACCCCAGTCTCACAAGAAAAAAATTAATTTTTAGGGGTGATAATGGTAGGTTATATTAAAAGAGAGGTTTTTGTTTTTGTGGTACTGGGGTTTTGTACTTGAGCCACACACCCAGCCCTT